GTGCGTGACTGCACCATGAAACCTATTATCACCATTTCCTCAAACACACCACATTTCCCAAACAACCAATCAAAACAGTTTATCGCTACTAGAGTTGTAAACAGAGAGCTGCCGGGCCTCAAAATTTGGAGACGGGGGGAGCCAGGAAGCMCTTTATAAAGAGAGTCAAACCATTACAAACTCATACAAGGGGATAAAACAGACGTTTTACATGGTGAAATGTGACTGATGGCCTGCTTAAATGTTCACTACATCAGAACTCATTCAGCAAATGTGTTTCCATCTCTGCTTTTGTGCACTAACTCTTACAGGATGGGGGAAATTGGTCTTGGCGGAGGTTTGCACTCTCCGAGTGCTTCTAGTTTATAATGACTTTAATTTCTGGAYGTTCGGCCCCTCAGCTGTTGGCCTGCAGTAATTGTGGCCCCTGGAGCACTTTAGTTGTATAACCCTGAGCTACAGTGTTTGTGTTTATTATCATCAGTCCCACTGTGACTATACAACATATTCTTATATATTCTGCCAAATGTTTAATCTTGATTTTTTCTTGAAGCATATCCTGCACGTGCCCTGACCAGCTGGTTATAAAAACACACRTACATGTAATAAAACACAGGGTTCCAATCAGAATCAGACACATTATGTGGTTTGTTTCGATCAAGGTGAACAACCCCGAGCGAGCGCTGGGGTGCCTCCACAASAATGGAGGAAAGACGAAGAAAAGAAAAGAGGAGGCAGACTTCTCCTTTTCACCGAGTTCTCCATGTCAGTCGTGGAAGAAAGCTGCCAAACCGATAATTTTTGTCAAGTTCCTTTTTTTTTTCTTAGCAGCGCGACTGAAGCATCTTTGGATTGCCACATGTATAAAGACAGCCCCGTATAAAGCCATTCACGGCGCTGAATGAACACGCCATCTGTGGAGCTTTTCTTATTTCCTCTTCTCTTTTCTTCTCCTTTTTTCAAGCCTTGTAATCAAATTTGAGCAAAATCAAATGGCGCGAGGATAGAAGGAGAGTGGAGGGTGGGGGGTGGAGAAGAGTTCAATGAAAGTACCTTTTGTTGGTCTGAAACGAGCAAGTAATTTACAAAATGCCCTCCCTTTGTGCAGGGGGCTAAGGGAAGAAAGAAATCAGTAGCTTTTAGAAGCTAGGCCTTGTGCTGCGACGGGCAAGATAATGAAAGCCGTCTTGTGTTTGTGGGGCTAGAGAGCATCTCAAAGGCAGACCGGGCCCCGGCTCAGGGTTAGCTTGACTGCTAGAGAAAGAAAGAAAGAAAAAAGAAAACAAAAAAAAAAGATGCTCCTCAGTATGTGTGTGTGTGTTTGTGTGTTTGGCAAAGAGCGGCAAAAACAGGACGGCTTCGCCTGGCTACTCTTGGCAGATCCCCTCTGAGGAACAGACAGAGGTGTCGGTGCTGAGGAGAGGAGGAGGAATCAAAGGAAAGGACTCCTGATCTCCTCTTACCTGCCGTTTCCTGCAGGTGCATCCCGGACGGGCCCCCTCGCACGCAGAGGTGAGAACACCTCAGAGGAGCGCGGAGCAGTGATGGAAGGAGGAGGAGAAGAAAACATCTGAGCAGAGGGATTACTGACTGCTTCCCTGCTTCTCCTCTCACATCAGTGAGCTGACGGCTGAACGATGCAGCGTTCACCTGCCTGGATCTGCTCAGGTCCTCGTCCGGGTCCCACCTACCGCTCGTGACGGTGAGATCTGATGTTTTTAGGCTCAATTGTTGTTAAAGGTTATCAGAGAACCTTAATTAACCCATCGAATTGATTTATTTGAATCTAATTCACCCTGAAAAATAAAAACTATCTTTTCACGGTTTACAGATTACTTCTATAACGAATGAAGTGRCGTCTGAAGTTTCCTGCAGCAGACTGGTGAGTTCTGATTGAGTTTATTTGAACTTTTTGCACACATTCTCAGTCTTTCCTCACTCAGCTGCACTGCAACCTTTATTTAAGTCTTTGTTTGGCATATTCTCTTTCAAAATCACACTGTTTTAGGAGACAAGTCCATTTGTAACACAGAATTTAGAAATAAACTTCCGCTTTCATTTGTTTGAGTTTGCCGAAATGCATTTTAAAGTTGGGTTTGTTTGTATTATAATAGGAAAAYGTGTTTTTTATGAGAGAATACAGACAATAAAACAGAAGAACTGGTCGTGTAGTTTGGAATAACTTCTGTTTTAGCAAATGTTCCGAAATTCTCAAGATTTTTCGAGGAATTGTCATAAAAAAATGACATAAACCTCAAGTTATTAGTTTGAATCTGCACAGAAACCAGCAGGTAAAGTTGTTTAACATTGTAGTGATGGACACCCGTTCTTCCTCTTTATTTGAAACGCCTTATTTTGCTGAAACTGGTTTTAATTTGCGCCTGTAAAAAGTTCATATCAAGTGAAGTGAGTACAGCATAAAGTTGAGTGTCACACTTTGCCTTCTCACTTTATTTAAAAAAAAAAGTCAACAATGAACAAGTGAGGCACATTTAAATGAGCTGATTTTCTGTGTTGGCACAATAAAATGTCAGAATTTGCACCAGAACAAAAAATGCTGGGGAGACTTCAGTCGATTTGAATGCTTAATGAGCTATCTCGGTGTTAACAGGCGGTCCCGGTCCGCCTGGGGGGGGCTACAGTCGCTTAGTCACATGACATGCATCACTGCTTTGATTGTTCACAGAGCTACCCCCCCCTACACACACACACAGCCCAGGTGTGTCTGGATGTCAAATCAAGTGTGGATGTTAGAGGGTGGAAAAAGTTGAATTAGCTCTCAACTTTCTTCTTTTTTTCATTGCAAACACAATAAAAACTGYTATTTTTAATTATTTTTTTCCCATTTAAGCCTCGGGTCGTGTGCAAACTGTGCTAATTTAATTTAGTGACATACAGAATATATGTTCGATCARCCTTTCATGGCATTTTGAGAAATATCTGTCATTGTGATGAACAATAAGCGGCGGCTGTTTCCTTGGGCTCGTCAACAAGAATTATCGCYAAWATTTCGCTTTTAATTCTCATTTTTCTCCCTCCTGTAACACCCACTGTCACTGTGAAAATGACCAACCGTGTTGGTCGGTGCTAAATCTCACGGGTTATTAATCAGTGTTAGGTTAGCCATGTGTTGTGACCCGTAGAGCTCCCTGAGGAGCCCCCTCTAATAACGGCTAATGGTGTGTTAAAGTAGTGGGCGGGGCCTGCGCCGCTCGGGGGGCTGCCTGCTCTGCTCTCACCGCCAATTAAAGCTCATTGAGCAGGAGTGGTTGAGGACTGATTTGATCTGTGAGTGTGTGTGCGCACCTGTGTGTGTGTGTGTCTGTCAAGCTCCTCTTCCATCCAGATAGTTGTGTGTCGGCAGTCATTAGCAACAGCAGCTAGTCATTAAGCCTGTCATTTTCTCTGTCTGTCAGTTGACCCCTTTGATTTGGACAGTGTCTGTACTTAACCTGTGAACTCTGATTCAGTGGCTCACTCTGCATGCGGGGGTAACGCTCAGCAGCTGTGTTCAGACTTTGTTTTTCTATCCCAGGTACAAAATGAATCTGCGTGTGCTTGTTTCTGCAAGGAGCCTGTTGGTTTCATGTGTATTTTTGGTCAAAAATAAATGTACAAATGTAAAGGCAGTGTTTTCAAATGTTACAATAGGCAAATTTAGTCTGCTAACAGTTGAAATTGACTCTCTCTGCTGAGTCATTGGTTTTAGATTAGACCTTTACTGTCAWTGTACAGAGCACAATGAAATTACAGTTCAGAACACCCATTCAGAAGAAGACTTAACATAGCAAACATGGGAGAACAGTTTTGTCTTCATCATCGTGATACGACCAAGACGAATGGAAGCTGTTCCTCGTCTCTGCCTTTAATGCTCCAATAGAGCCAATAAAAGGATTTATTTTCACATTTCTGTTAACAAAGTTTGCGTTCTGTACATGATTTACATTTTAATAATTAATAAATCCTATTTATCTTAAAAATCAGATCCACTTACAGTTAAGATACAGTATATTTCTTGAAGTTGAGTTTTAAAAGCAAACTGTGTCTCATTACTCAACATTGTGACGATGGAATCCTGGAGAAATAACGTACAAAAACTCATTGTTTTGATGAAAGCTGAACACTTGATGACACACACTGATCATTTTGCAGCAATGAACTGTGATGCTAATAGACTTCAACAGCTGTGATATCTGCTAACATTAAAGTAGACAAATGATGCTTTTAAACCCTTTTTACATTTACTGTAAATCCTTCAGGTAGGGTCTTTATAAAGTGGAACTGCAACACTTTGGTCTGAGTTCCTCCTTATTGTAACTCCACAAGCCCCACCCCTTTTCTGAGGTGTGTCTCAGATCAACTCGTTTTGAGGCTGTCTCTTTAAATCCAAATGAGGGGCTTCACTCCTTGCCCACGTACAGTTTCCAAACCGGTCCATTCTAGCTTGTTAGAGGGGTTTACGGCTATATAGCTGCACAGAAACATTTTATTTACAAACAAATTAAAAGATGTCAACAAGGGGAGACTTGTCCATCCAGTCTTATATGTTGGAGCCAGAGGAGAATGAAGACCACCACATTGTAGTCGATAAATCCAGACCCATTGCAAATGATTTGGCATAATAGAAAATGTCATGGGGAAAACCGAACGAGTCGAAAAATCTGACCCAAACAGAATCTAAAGATATCTATGCAGCACCAGGAAAGACTAAATTCAACTTTTCTGCCTCCTAGAGACTCCAGCAACAAAATGTATTTAACAGCTAAAAAAGTGGATTTTGCCTGATGTGTCCCCTTTAAAGCTTATTTCATTTGGATTTTTTCATCAGTTCATATAAGTTGCTGTGATTATAGCATGTCACATTCAAAGTCGGGGTATCTGGGGCAATCTACATTCCTCTGTTTGTGCATTAAGTTACATTTAGTGGCATTACAACATGTTTTTAWGGCTCCGCCCACTCACCGATGCTTACTGTTCTCTGGCTGTGTTTAATGCTTTGTCCATCTGTCACAGGTGGTCTTGTGTGCACGATATCCCCTGAATGAAATTATATATTTACTTATAAWTAGGCATAGTAACTCCATTAGTTTTGTACTCAGCCTGATTTGGGCATCAAAAGGRTCAAAGGTCATTTATGATGATTGGTAATGAATTAATTTATTAGTTAGTTACTGATTTTAAAAGCACTACACCATTTTCTTAGTTTTCCTTTTTAAGTATTGACTTTATAATCCGTTGTTTGACTATTGTTATGTTTTGATTAAAGTAGTTTAGATACATGCCCGAAACACCATCACAACACATAAAAACCATTAATCAAACATAAGTACAGGTTTTTTGTCTGAGTGTCTGCGATTCAGCCGTAGGCCAGTAGTGGGCGTACCAGGCACTGAAGAACCCTGTATAAAAAGACCGGAACTTCCGGTTTCGGGCAGCGCTGCTCAGATTGCTTCAGCGTAAGCAATAAAGCTCGCTTGTAACCAGATCTGGGGTTGTATGGTCCCAAATTTCTTCACATTTTAATCTATTCAATATTTATGTGGTTGTGTCTCGATTTTAGTTAACGAACACCAAATTTTCTTACAGTAATATAAAACTGGCATTTTCCTTTAATTCCTCGACAGTACAAATAAAATACTTGGAAAACCGTTGACAAAATCTCCAATACAATGGTTTGTGCATGCACGCTAACAACAGCAGAGTTGTGCTTCAAAGGCAGACTTATACCAATTGACACTTTGTCGAGTTCCACCTTGTTAGTAAGTTTGTGAGGCATATTTAAATTGAAAATACATGTTTAGCTAGATCTGACCCAACTAACAAATGAATCAATCAATCAGTCAGTCAGTCAGTCAGTCAGTCAGTCAGTCAGTCAGTCAGTCAGTCAGTCAGTCAGTCAGT